TTGTCCACGTGGAGGTAAAGCCACGTGTGATAGATGTCTGTACTGAGAGATAACATGGTGACAGATGGAAAAGATGACCAAGGGGAGAGACCCTAAGAAGACAGAGCAGGAGGAGGTGATTAATCTGGGGAAGCAGGAAGGATGGGAGGCCAAAGAAATAGAATGAGCAATGCTGGCTCGTTAGAAGAGGGAGGCGATAAGTTGGTAACATTTAGCAGACCAGTGAGGAAGAGGAGGGTGCAGAGGCAGCACTTCTGCAGTGAGGATCATCTCTACTTAGCAGTCTTCCTGAACTCTCCCATCCTTCCTACTCTGATGCCCAGTTCTTGCCTTAGTTACGGGTCATCCACTGATATTTGCTTATGGATTTGCAGCTTAGATCAAAGGCTGACGGATCACCAGGACTGTGGGGGGCTTGTGGGGAATGCAAGGGAAGATAACCTGCCTAAGAAAGCAGCTTCAATAATGTGGGGAAGTCAAACTGAACTGTACACTGTGCTAAGAAGTGCAGAAGCACCTGATGGGTAAGGGCAAAAGCATGGGGGGTTGGGAATCTATGTCGCCCAGAGAGAAGCTGACAGAATGAAATGTGTCACTGTGGGGTAAGGGAGATGTAATTATATTGGGCAATTGGAGGAAAACAAAGAATGAAGAAGCGAGCATAGGCACTGGAAGCAGCCCTTATTGTGAATTCAAGGAGGGACTGTGATAGCAGAGACAGGCTGAAGGGATGGAAGGGGGGTACAATGAATGGACTATGAGGAAGGAAGTTACAGAAAACAGAGGGAGGGGGAATGGCAACCTTGAAGCTCTGTCACAGCCATGTGTCTGTCTTGTAGACCTGTGGGAAATGATTCCTTTTCATTACTATTTTTTTTTAATTTATTCATTTTGGGGGCACAATGCAGTAGCCTAGTGGCTAAAGTCCTCGCTTTGAACATACCAGGATCCCATATGGGTGCTGGTTCTAATCCCAGCAGCCCGACTTCCCATTCATCTTCCTGCTTGTGGCCTGGGAAAGCAGTCCAGGACAGCCCAAAGCCTTGGGACCCAGCACTCATGTGGGAGACCCAGAAGAAGCTCCAGGCTCCTGGCTTTGGATGAGCTCAGCACTGGCCGTTGTGGTCACCTGGGAAGTAAATCATCGGACGGAAGAGCTTCCTCTTTGTCTCTTCTCCTCTCTGTATATTTGACTTTGCAATAAAAATAAATAAATCTTTAAGTAAATAAATCTATAAATAAAAAAGATTTATTTATTTTTATTTAAAAGGAGATTTTACAGTAAGAAGGAGAGGCAGACACACACACACACACACAGAGAGAAAGGTTGGGGCAGGCAGAGTCTTCCATCTGCTGGTTTACTCCGGAAATGGCCACAATGGTCAGGGCTGAGCTGATTGGAAGCAAAGAACGTCTTCCACACGAATGCAGAGGCCCCAGGATTTGATGCATCCTCCTCTGCTTTTCCATGTCATAAAGAGGGATCTGGATCAGAAGCAGAGTAGCAGGGACCTAAACAGGAACCCATATAGGATGCCAGCCCTGCAGGCTGAGGATTAGCCTGTAATGCCACCTTCCTGTCCCCAAAGTGACTCTTTTTTTTTTGTTATACTTTTTCAATTCTTATATTCTGTTTTACAATTTTTTAGATATGAGGTTTCCCCCCTTTCCCTTCCTTTCCTCCCTCCACTTTCTCCTGTCCCTATTGCCTCCTGTATTTTACAGTAATATAGTCCTTCTGCTGTAGTCTCAACTCCAGGATTCTGTTACTTCTGTGTGTCATGACATTGCAGGTGTAAGACTGGTACAGAATCCAGTATTTTGTTGTCTCGGTATAGTTAATAGTTCTGTTGAGCGGTCTACCTTTATTCAGGAGTAGAGATGCATATTGCAGATCTTTGATCCCTGGTACTGTGGTCTCCATTACATCCTTCATTTGTGAGATTACAAGTGTACACTTACCTTTATGTCTCCTTTTTAAAACCTCAACTTCCCTTTGTGTGAAATGGGGACTCCACCTCTCACCCTCCTTTGTCAACTGCAGGTTATTGCCTCACTTACTTGCAAGCCTTCTTGGTTCTTGTTTTGTTTTTTTGGCAAGAAATAACGTGGTTTTTTTTGGGGGGGGTGGTTCTCCTTATTTTGTTTCCCTGCGACAGGACAGAGCCTCTGAAAGATGTCACCTATCTTATTAACGAAGTAGGAAGTGGATCGAGTTTGGAGACAGTCATGTCTTAGGGCCGAGATCGCCAGTGTCAGGAGTGCTGGGGGATGGGACATCATGAACAAGATGATATTGGAGAGGCTTAGGAATCTGAAGAGGTCCGGGGAGTGGGGAAGGAAGGGAAAGGCGAGGAGATTGACCCACAGAGTTTCTGTCCCTGGCTTGCAGGGACCACGTGTCCAGGGGGTGAAGGGGGTTTGGGGAGGGGGACTTGGGAAGCCTTCAGCCTGCAATCATTTCCAGGGGACGTCTCAGAGCAGGCATCCTGAACTGGAGCTTGGTAAGCAGGGGCCTGTAGGCGGCTGGCCCGGTGAGTCAGTTCCTTCTCTGCTGGAATGTAAGGAACTTCTGCCTCGCTTGCCCAGAGCTCGACCTTGTTTGTGTGTGTGTGTGTGTGTGTGTGTGTGTGTGTGTGTGAAAACCCGCAGCGTGTGGCGAGGCCCCGCCCTTCCGCGCCCCGGCCGCCTGGCGCCCCGCCCCGGCTCCTTCCCGGACGGCGCTGGAGGCCCTGGCGGCGACGGCGCACCGAGCCCATGGCGCTGCCCGCCTGGCTGCAGCCCAGGTAGGGCGCTCGGCCGAGGCTGGCGGGCAGGGGGCCGGGAGGAGAGGCTGCGCAGGCGGGGGCTGCCCCTGGCGGCGGGGACCCACGGCTCGGCGCCACCCAGCCCTGCGCCATCCAGCCCTGCGCCCCGCATCCTTCACCCCCGGGAGCTCTGCTGGGGTATTGACTAACTCTAGATCGCCCAGGAAGAAGGTCCCTGCTATTTCTCCCGTTTCACAAATGAGGAAATGGGAAAGAACGAAGGGCACGCTTTGGGTCTGTTTTCTCCGAGTCTGTGGTTGACTTTTTCAGACACCGTATTGCAGGCTCACGTTATGGACTTGCCTACTTTGGGAACACCTATGACACACACATGTAGTTTCCAAGAAAACAGATTCAGTGGTACAGGAATGGGGCCTGGGAATGTAAATATTTGAAGGACAGGCCTGGACGGTGCCCCTGTAGGATTTCATCTTCCCCCACCGCTTCAGCAGTTGGCATCATCTGTGGGGTGCTCACATAGGATTTTCTAGCTGCTTGGCATCTGCTGGGCCAGCTCCTTTGCCCTGTTTCTCACAGGCTGTTTCCCATCTCTAACTAGAAGAGAACCTCATGTCCACCCGCAGAGCACTCCCACACCCTTCCACACTTCCAGGGAAGTCACTTCAAACAATAGTCTGTCCAGCTTCTTCGTATTCTGTTATCTGTAGGTCTTCCCTTAGCTATCCTTCCAGGAACCCACAACATGTTTATCAGTCAGCTACACTTCCCTTTTTGGCCTGAGCTACTCAGCTGCTTTCTCTGCATGTCTAATGGGGAAGGTCGCACTTGCAAAATGTAGTGAGTCTCTTGCAAGGGCTGAAACTCACCCCAGTCAGTAAGGCATTCAAAAGTCAGGTGTGTCCAATTGCTGAATCAACCGTTTGATGTTGCTACCCTCACTACCCTTCTCTCTACTCTTCAACATAAACCAGTAATCTCTCAGCATCTAAACTTAATAAACATACTGCCCTCACCAACCCTACTGCACCCCCTTTTCCCCCCAAAAGAAATCATTGAATGTATTTTCTCCGGTTTTATCTCCTGGTGAGCAGCGAGACTAGCACTTTAACAAAAGGTAAAAGTTTTTGAAAAGTAACTATTTTGGCTTGAAGAGAGCTCAATATATAAGGCTGAAGAAAGTTCATGGGCAAATGGAATTCAATTGATTTGGGTGCCAATTTTTTAAAAGATCTATGCATTTTTTTTCCATAATCTGTGATCTTTAAGACCCTGCATCCTTACTTTAGAAGCCAGTGTGCATTATGGGTATCTTCAGAAAATGATGTGTAGCAACTGGTGTCTGCAGCCACCGGTGCCCTCACCCATAGTGCGGTGCCTGGGTTCAAGTTCCAGCTCCGCCTGCCATTTAAGCTTTCTGCTAAACCGCCCTGGGGGTGCACAATGTGGTAGCCCCAGTAGTTAGGTCCCTGCTTTCGGTATGGGAGACTTGGATTGAGTTCTGGGCTTCTGGTTTCATTCATTCTGGCTCAGGCCTGGCTATTACATTTGGGGCCAGAAGCAGTGGATGGAAGCTCTGTTTCTTTACCTTTTAAACAATTAATTTTAAAGAAATCTGATGTGTTTGATATCACCACAGGAAAGACTCTGATATGGAACCATTTTCTTTTGCTTGTTGAGGTTGGTCAGCACATTAAAAATATATGCAGTAATGAGAAGATGATCATTAAAAAGTGTTTAATGATTTTTTGCTGTAATTATAGGTACAGGAAGAGTGCATATCTTTTCATCTACTACTTAATCCAGTTCTGTGGCCACTCATGGATATTTACAAATATGACAGTCAGATTTTTTTCATTTGGAAAAGGTAAAACTTTACAAGTTTTTGACTTTTAATTGTTATTATCGCCCAGTCTTGACTGTATTAATTTTAAAATTCTAAAGCCTACCCAATATCCTTTACTTCTCTGAAGTTTATAGTGTTCAGTAACTGTGCCTCTTGCTTATTTTGACCGCTGAAAGCTTCTTGGAGAAGGGGTAAGTGGAGTAACAGAGGGACTTGGCTTCCACTTGAGCAGGTGGGCCACCCTGAAAACGGGCATGGCATGGGGGTGATGCCATTTCACTGTTCTTTTCTGGTTTGTACCAAGCCTTAGAAGACTTGGCATGCTTTGAGGAAAATCTCCATTTCATATTTCATGCAGAAAATCACAAATTAATCAGAATCAACCATTGTCTTTACTCCCTAGGTCCGTGGTAACTGGAGACTACTAGTGAATGACAGTTACATTTCTGAGGCCTCCATTTGGTCTCCTTCCGAAGCAATGTGTAAATGACACACTTTATTGATGACTAATCACTAATATGGGATTTAGCTAAATCATAAGCTTACTCAAAGTTCCTGAAAAGTAAAGACCCTTTTTAAAATATCATTTTAACATCTTAAAAATGAATCACTAAATGATTGTCGAAATAACATTCCCTCCATGCTACAAACCCACATGGGTATGTGTCATCATAGTTTACAACTTTTGAGTGACTTGACAATTTGAGCAACTGCTGGCTTCAGCTAAAAACAAGCAGAAAGAATTTTTCTCACATCTCATTTTCTCTCATCATTTTTTTTTTGTCTTGTAAATGGAAAAGCTACGAGTACAGCTTCCTTAACAAGCTTAACTCCACCTTGAGGCAGTCTAGATTCTACTTGGAGACTAATGTGGGGACTGTTTTATCATTTTAAACATGGGTTATAAATACTGTATCTTTGGCTATGAAGCTTTCTTTCTCAATTTTGTTTGAAATATGATATATAGTGCTGTCACTGGCTGAATCATGTTCTTAATTATTTGTGGTTTATTAGAACCTTTTCAGATGTTTAAGGAAAAATGAATAGTCTCATTTTATTTCAAAGTTCTGTATGATGTAGGTCATGATCTAGATTTCACTAATCATATTTGTATTTTTAATTTGTTGGACACAGACTCAATGGTTGACACTTTTTATGCTATTGGACTTGTGATGCAACTTTGCCAATCCATTTCTCTCCTGGAGTTACTGCATATATATGTTGGCATTGAATCAAGCCTTCTTTTCCCAAGGTTTTTGCAGGTGGGTATAAAATGCAACATCATCATCATTATAGACTGTTTCACACTTAACGTTGTCCTGTTTATAACTTCTCTTAATTCTGCAGCAGTTAAAAAATCCTGATAAGGAGAATTAATCCCATGCAAGGACTACCTTACTCTGAAACACTGCACAGTTCTAATAGCCAGCTAGAAGCATTCAAGGCAATGTGTTATTGATCTGTGCGGTGTTGTACTGAATCTGTTCTGAGAGGAGATTTGAGAGCAGTATCCACACAAACTGTGTCACTGCCGGGGGACTGTTAAATGATGGCGAGGCACAGAGCTGGAGCCATTTGGATTTGATGCTTGCTCTTCTGGTTATCACTATGGGATCTTAGCAACCATAAGCACTGGCTGTTGTAGGGGAAAGGACACACGGTACTTAACAAAGGTTTTTTTTTAAAAAACAATGTAACCATAGAATCTATATTTCCACATCTAGAGAATACATCCCAGCCATTCATGCCATCAGTTTTACTAAGTACAAGTGGAGGGGGGAGATCACTTCTGCTTAGCCAGCATTATGTGTAAGTGTTGATTTTGGATCACACAGACTTAGATCAGTTTCAGCTCTTACTAGTTTGTGTGATTTTAAGCAACTCATTTAATCCTAAACTTCATTTTCTTATATAATGTGGTAACAGCATGTACCCTATAATAGGGTAACTGAAACCATGAATGGAAAAAAAAAATAGTTGGCATTTTAGTTAGGAATATGATACCCGGTAACAACAGCTATTATTTTTTCCCTGTAACATGCTTTTTAGCTCTAGATAGCAGGTTCTTTCCAAAGGAAGATTGAAAGAGGATTGGAAATTCAGATTTTAAAAGTCAGTGCTGTTCTAAGGTAAGAAAAATTAAAATGTGGTGTTTTCCTCAAGGAAGGAGAGAGAAAGGCAGGATGACCATGGCATGTGCTTAAAATCGGAAGGAATGGAGAACAGTGTCTGTGTAATTTTAGCTATCTTCAAAATAAAAGTGAAAAACTTCCAAGTGACTAAACAGTACATTTGCATTATAAAACTATTAAAATATCATAATCTTATTGCATTGCCAGAACCTAACAAAGAACTTTGAATGCAGCTGTATACCTTACATTTTACCGACTAAAGTAAGAGCATACATCCCTTCATTAAAATTTATTTAAATACTCTGGAAGTATATAAGATATAAAGAGTAATATAATCCTAAGGAATCTAATAAAGACTTAGCACTACATATATATGGGATATTCTTAAATTATACTTATGAAATAAAAGCAAATAGTATGCATTCAAATAGACATCTTATATGCTGAAATATAAAATAAAAACTAGAACAATAGAATGTAATAAAGTAATAATATAGTGCTCAGTTAACCACCTGTGATTTGGATGGAATTCCTGTAAACAAATTGCCTTTGAGAGTAAGAGAAGAGGGCACAGACATCTGCAAAGGCAGCACACCATCTGGGAACCTTATTTATTGGTGTTGATGACTTAGTCGACAGGTCGGCTATACTTTGAAACAACCAACATGCATTATAGTACAAGGTTGTTTCATAAGAAAGGAAAGCAAGTGGGTAAATAGGTAAGCATGAATATGCCTGTATTTATCTAGAGGAACGGTATAATGGAGGCAAAGATACCATGAAGTAGAGACATTGCAGTATGCATCTCCACTTCTGAATAAGAGAGATTCCCAATGAAACTGTTAAATATACTTTGACAATGGAATGCTGGATTTTATGCCGTTGTCCATACATGCAATGTCAGGACACACTTAAATAGCAGAATGATGGACTTACAACTGTAGTTAAGGGACTAAACTGGCAATATAGGGAAAAACAGTTACAGAGAGGGGATGTGGCAGAGTAGTAGAAAGAGAATTCCCTGAGCCTAAGGAATTATATCATGAAAAATAAAGAATTTTTTAAAAAGTAAATGAGTACTTAGATGTGCCAAAGAAATAGGCATGGGACATATGCTTTTATTATCTGGAGTTAGTTAATAAAATAAGCTATGTAAACACTAGACATTTGGTTTCTTAGAGTTCTGCAAATTCCAAAATAATTTAGTGTGATTTTCATCACTATCATTAAAACTCTAACGGTTTATAGGAATGTGTGTATGGTCACTGTAATCAAAGAACCAACTCCTGGGTTGGTAATTTAAAATAATTGTAAATATTCACTGATTTTTAAAATTCAAAGTCAAATTGGCAGAGTCTTCTTTTAATAGATCTCAAATGATTTTGAAGTCTTTAGTCCCTGGAGGGCTCACATGTCAGGGATCACATTAAGGAAGACAATTGCAATTCTCATCTAGGGCTGATATGTATTAATTCATAGTATAATTTCTCCTTTTTTTTTTTAAGAGATTGATTATTTATTTACTTGAAAATCAGAGTTACAGAGGGAGGAAGAAAAACCAAGAGAGAAATCTTCCAATCTGTTGATTCCTTTCCCAGCTGGCCTCCACAGGTCCGATCAATAGATTCGTCAGGTCTCCCATGTGGATGCAGAGGCCCAAGAATCTGAACCATTTTATTCCGCTTTTTCCAGGTCACAGGCAGGAGGTTCGGCTGGAAATGGACAGCTGGGACAGTAGCTGTGCCCTCATGGGATGCTAGCGTAGTAAGCAGCAGGTTTACTCGTCATACCACAGTGCTTTTCCTTCTTTAATATCTTTGAGATTATTTTCTGTCATCTTCTTTTTTTAAAGATTTTATTTTTACCACAAAGTTAGATATACAAGAGAGGAGGAGAGACAGAGAGAAAGATTTTCTGCCTGCTGATTCACTCCCCTAGTGACCACAACGGCCAGTGCTGTGCCGATCTGAAGCCAGGAGCCAGGATCTTCTTCTGGGTCTCCCATGCAGATGCAGGATCCCAAGGCTTTGGGCCATCCTGGACTGCTTTCCCAAACCACAAGCAGGGAGCTGGGTTGGGAAACGGGGCTGCCGGGATTAGAACCAGTGGCCATATGGGATCCTGGTATGTTCAAAGCGAGGACTTTAGCTGCTAGACTACCGTGCTGGGCCCTGTCAACTATTTTTTATTCACTTGTAATATCCATGATTTTCAGAATAGAAATGACATTAGACAAAGCTTCAAAAATTGTGATTTCTAATGTTTCATCGTCTCCTCCTCTATTATAGTTCTGCAGACAATTCCCTCATTATGACTGAGTGCTGCATTAAAATAATGAACTGAAAGTCTCAACTTGTGTAATCATTCTTAAGTTCTCATTTCCCCTTTTTAATGAAGATACTATATTTAAGAGTGTAGTTAAGTCATGTATATGGTAATTAGAGCTGACTGTATACAGAAAAATTGGCAACCGTAAGCCAAAAAGCATGTCCTTACTATCATAAAGTTATTTTGACCCTGCATTCAAAAGATTGCTAAGGTACACTGAAGTCTGACTTGGGGAACTGGTCTTGAAACAAACAGCAAAAATAATTGTGGAGCTGATGTTTTGTGTCATGGGTTAAGCTGCCACTATGACAGCAGCATCCCATAGGTGAGCAGTGATTTAAACCTTGCATGTTCTGCTTGCAAACCAGTTCCCTGCTGATGCATCTGAAAAACAACGAAGATGGCCCAAGTGCTTGAGCCCCTGCCACCCACTTGGCAGATCCAGTTTGAGCTCTCGGTCCTGGCAGGAGGCTGGCTCAGCTCTAGCCTTTGTAGCCTTTAGGAAAATGAACCAGTACCCAGAGGACCTCATTATGTCTCGCTGTCCCCTCTGTCACTCTGCCTTTCAAATAACTGAATATTTTTTTAAAGACAATATTTCCAACTGGCAGTCAGCAATGAATCTAGTTGAGCAGTTACAACAGATATATCAAGTAGTGGTTGATTGTGTATAAGGTAGTTTCTTTCCTGTGTTTTGTTGTGTGTATTTTTAAATGTCTTGCAAACATCTTTATTTTGACTTTAGGGAAAAGGCTATTTTGCATTTCCAAAATTATATACAATTGCTAAAGGAAAACTGCATTAATCATGAGGCAGCTCCAAGAAGTTCATGGTAAAATGGAATTAAAAGAGAAGTTTTTTTTTGCCATGAAAATATTTAATTTGCATAGATAATTTATAATATACATTTTTCCATAAACTTTTGATGACCCCTCATGTAATAATCACTTGACATGTTTCATGCATGTATGGGAAGGGGACAAAACCATAATATACCTATTTATAGACTTGTACTTTTGGAAATAATTACATGCCAATTAAAACTGTATAAGGTAATATAGTGCCTTTGAAATCGGGAAGTGAAAGAAGCAATACTACTGAACTGAATAATGCTGAATAACACTGAAGCAGTGCTTTTGAAGGGCTTTGTTCAGGCTCTGCTCACTCATACGCCTGAGAAACATGTTTGTATTGAAACAGATGTAAGATGGAGAAGAAAAATGCCTAAGAGAGAGGGGAAAATAGCCAGCAACTAACTTTTTTATAATTACATAGAACTGAAATCCCTTGTAGAAAACTCTCAAAGCACTATACTTTTTCACCTGTTGGGGAATGTTTTAAATGCAAATACATTTCTTTCTTTTGTAAAGGTTTTATTTTTATTGGAATGGCATATATATATATATATATATATATATAGTGGCATATATATATAGTGAGGAGAGACAGAGAGGAAGATCTTCTGTCTGATGATTCACTCCCCAAGTGACCGCAACAGCCGGTGCTGTGCTGATCTGAAGCCAGGAGCCAGGAACCTCCTCCAGGTCTCCCACATGGGTGCAGGATCCCAAGGTTTTGGCCCTCCTTGACTGCTTTCCCAGGCCACAAGCAGGGAGCTGGATAGGAAGTGGGAATGCCGGGATTAGAACTGGTGCCTATATGGAATCCTGGCACGTTCTAGGTGAGGACTTTAGGTACTAGAACACGCTGCCAGACCCTACATTTCTTATAATTGAATAAAAGTGGTTCATTTTCATATCCCTTTGTATCATAACCAGTACTACTACATATGCATAAATATC